TATTTTTTTAATATACCTTTTAAATTCTGATTCCAATGTCCGATTTGGGCATATAATCAATGCTTAATTCTGAAAAGTGGTAAATCCATAGCATAAAAATTGATGCGGATTTTACCGCCATTCTTTTCGCTGGGGACTGTATGAGCTGGCAAAGCCCTTTAGGGCGACATCAGCGAATACACATTTAACAAGAGAAATGATATAGCAGGAATATGAGCGAGCCCTTTAGGGCGAAGCGAATATAGATGCTATATCGTTTCGATCATATGCTATTATATTTTAATGTATGCTATATATGAGGCAAATATGGGTAGTAATAAGTAGGCAAATAGTAAGCAAATTGCCTTCCAATAGCATACTGCTTAGGTAGTAAGAGAGAACAAGTATGAGGAGGAGCAGAGCAACGACAAATATGCATTCGATATAGGAGAATAAGTACAAGCTGGTAAAGCTCTTTAGGGCGACGCCAGCGAATACGCATTCGACAGGAGAAATGATATAGCAGGAATATGAGCGAGCCCTTTAGAGCGAAGCGAATATAGATGCTATATCGTTTTGATCATATGCTACTATATTTTAATGTATGCTATATATGAGGCAAATATGGGTGGTAATAGTGAGCAGATGGTATGCAAATCATAAAGCAAATATGAATGCTAAGTCTGTAGAGCAAAGCGGAGCATATGTTATTTGGGATTAAAATCAAGCTAGAATAGTTATATCAATCAATGTAGTTCTTGATATCAGACAGGCTAATTTCTAGCCAAGTTCGATAACATCATCTAGAATTGAGTCAAAAAGCGCTAGAAGGTTGAATAAATAGAAATGAAATATATAGCAAACTGGACTTGTAAGCAGATTTGAGTACTAAGAAGGCATTCATCGAAATCTGTCTCAGATCTCTCGAAATGCCCTATATAAATCATGAATAACTAAATCTGCCAATACAAACTGAACTAATTCTTTTGTTTTCAATAACTTTCTTTTTTCAGTCAGATATACTTATAAGGTATTCCAATTCATTTGCTTTATTTTTACCATTTTTCCACCTTTAAAAATATTTACTATGTCATCTGAACTAATTTATTGTTCTCTTTGTATTAAAAATTCTATTGCTTCTAATAATTTTATTATTTTTTCTTTACCATAAATAACTTTGATTTATTAGTAATTCTTTTAATACAATTATCACATTTTTCACATATAGGTGGTTTCACTTCTCCTGGCCATGCTTGATACTGCTAAATTAGTTGTTAACAACATTCATAATATGAATTACAATAGTGAAAAACTTCAAAATTTTATTAGTAGCTTGTTCGAGTTTATTAATCTAATTTTGTTCATTTGCTAAAGCATTTGTAATAATATACTCTCTATAAAAAAAATTAATAAATAATGTAAATAATATATTAATTTGTAAAAATAAATAATTTATTACTTACTTTCCTGATATTTTGCTATTATAGAATAGTTTGTACAGATATCTTTTTTACTAAAAAAAACAATATACATTGCTATATTTCCATTCTGTCCTGCGCGTCCGGCTTTTTGAATAAGATTAACTATAAAATATATATAAATTAAAAAATAATAAATATAAATATAAACAAATTTAGTATATATACTCATACTTATTAGTGCTTTTACATGAATAACAGTACGTATATCATTTGAATCGATTTCTATACTAAAAGCAGATATTGCAACTACAGTTGTCTTCCTATATAGTCACCTCTTATATAGTCACATCTTCTCTTTAATCACATTGATCTACAGTCCCAAATTTTTTTATATATA